CTTCAACCATCCAGGAAAGAGGAAAGGGGATGGGGGAGAGGGGTGCCAAAACGTGGTAGAAGACATTCGCAAAGGTGAAAGGTGATTGGCGGTGAGGGCTTCCAAAAGTGTGGTTGCAAGCATAGATGGAGTGCAATGAGCTCTTTCATGATCATTGTCATCAGTGTATTAGTGGTGTTCCCCTCATTGGGATGCATAAACTCAATATTATTCTTTTGCATTTTTTTGTATGTTTTCCGAATAATCCATTCTTTTTCTAAATTTGTAGTTGCCTCATTCAATTTTGTATGTGGATCAACATCAGAGATAATATTATTCGTAGTATTGTTGATACCATTTTCATCCTCCAAGACATGGTGAACATCAAGACCGTGAGGTTCTACCTATTGACACACCAAATTATCAACAGGCGACGCAGATGCAACCTCTACAAAAGTAACATCATTCACGTTAGAGGAAGTAACTAAAAGCCCATCTATATTTCCTTTCAGATTACCATCATTGACAGGACTACAATCGGTATTTGTGATAATAGTAGCAGGTGTTGGGTTTGATTGAGCAAGAGTAGGAGGAATTCCTTCCGAATTTTCAACATTCAGAGTATTACAATCAGTGGTAGGTGTGTGGCTTAAGTGAGCAGGAGCAGGTGCAGGGGGTTTGGAAGGTGCACCGTTTATTTAAGATTTTAAGTGAGGATGTAAGTGATGACAGAGAGAGTTAGAGTGCCCCAACATACGACAATGAGAGCAATAAAGAAGATATTGTTCAATTTCAACCCTCTGCCAATATCCGTTATGTTGCAAACCAATCCAAATTTCATCAGGAAAAGATAAAGTAATATTACGTTCAACCAGAACCCTAGCTTCAGATGGTCGGCTGAGATTGAAGGTAAGAATGTCTGTTTTGAGAGATTTACCATATATCACGACGATAGTGTACAAGAGTTCATGATTAAATAGGTGAAATTTCATACTTGGGAAGCTCAAGCAGACAGGGATGGTAGGGGTTCTGTGAGCGGGTCAAAATCCACTGTCCATTTCAGAATTTTCATGGCGCGATTATCTATCCGAAGTGACCTCTTAGCAAATAAACGAGTATAGTCCTCGTCCTTGGATAGTTGAATGAGTATATGCTCTCATCTGGTTGCTCGATTTTCCATTCCCCCACCAAATGCATTAACCGAACTCTTTTTGAATAACGCCAAGTTTCGTAAAGAAATTTATCGAGCAGGGCAAAGTGACAAGAGGAAGCTAGGGTACAACATTCGACGTCAGAGATGAAAATAGTTGTTTTCCCGTTTTAACGGCCCGCTTTCTTAAAACCAGTATCGCCTCCAAAAGCTATGACATCGTGAAAGGATTGCAAAAACATACAAGATTTCGGAGTGCCATTAGATTTGTCACCAACAAGGGCTTCGACGTATATTCGATCGAAAGCCATCGTCGAAGATAGAGGAGGAGAGAAGAGGAGATGAGACAAACTATGCGGTTCGCCATAGAATTGCCTTGGAGGAAAAAAGCCTAGCAAAGCGGACACCGTCATCGTGTTATATATATATGACGTCTGCGTTAACGTCTTGTTCTGCTAGGATTTTGCCTGATGGCGAAACCTTGTGGTAACTCCTTTGGCTTCGTCGTGCTCGACGACGAACGGTTCGCGCATCCATCCTGTTTCGATTGTTTCGTCTTCCCTCCGTTGGTTTCGTGCTCGTTCATCATCTTCTTCCTCGGGTCACTGTTTGTCGTAGCGTTTTTCTCGCTGTTACGAGGCTGTTCGTTCGTTCTTGCCACAGTTGTTCCCGCTTGGAAATTCTCTCGCAGTACCTGGAGACTTCCTGTGCTGTTGTGGTCTCCGTTCGATTCCTGCCCTGCGGATCGAGCAACATAGGAGTTAGACCCACAGTTCGACTCAGAGCTCTATGGCTACTATTCCTTCTCAACATCCGACAACTTCAATTTTAAACCTTGAGAAGACTTTTTTTGTTGATATAATTGGCTTTATGAGATCAGATCAGGTGTTTCTTCAGGTTTACCACGAATCATTCGAAGGCCAGGAGGACTACAACCTTATCAAGAAATCGGGGCAGGAAGAGTGGTAAACTGGCTCTTTTCTTCTTTGATGCTGAAGTTTCCAACTTGGTTAACAAGTTCAAATTCACCCTCATTGGGAAGTTCCAATCGGGATATCCCAAAATGGAAATTGTTCGAAAGGCTTTCGAAGATCTCAAACTATTAGTACTCTGGGAGGTTGACCACTTTGATGGAAGACGTGTGATGATACAATTATCTAAAGTGGAAGACTATGCCAAAATATTTTCCAAAAAGTTTATGACAATAGAGAGAAAGTATATGAAACTGCTTAAGTGGTCTCATGAATTTAACCTTAGTCAAGAACCACATATAGTTTCAATCTGTTTTAAACTACCTGACTTAAAGTTGCACTACTTCAACCACCAAGTCCTCTACGCTATTGGAGCTGCACTAGGGAGACCTATGAAATTGGATACACCCACCTTCAATCTAACCAGACATTCAGTTGCAAGAATTCTTGTTGAAAGGGATATCACCCTCCCTGATGTGGACGAAATATGGCTTGGTACAACCCACAATGGGCATTGACAACCAATTGTAGCTGAATAAAAATCATACTACTGCAATTACTGTAAGCTATTTGGGCACACATCTGTCAAATGATTCAGGCTTCACCCACATTTGAGATCGACAGGTCCTAACAACACCATCCATGTGGAGGAAATATAACAGACACTGTTAATCTTTCAGAAATATTGAATGAAAATTTAACTCATAAGGCTACTCCTCACCGAACAGACCAACAACTTCTACCTACTGTTGTTGAGACAACTCTTTCTCAGATTACAGGTTCTACGAGTTGTGTTGTAGCAGATGCTAGGCGAAATGGCTTGGATCCACCTACTGCGAGAGAAGAGGGTACTCATGTTATGGAGGAGTGTCAGGATCAATGTGTGTTGCAGACTGAGTCAGATCAACAGTTACCTCCATCGAAGATCCACCTATTGTTCACACGAGACTTCCTTTGACAGATGATTGACAAGTTTATAAATCTAGGAAGAAGAAGAAAGAAATACCAGATCTCAGTAACTCTCAGGATGACTGTATCATTGTTTCGAGAAGCCCACATCCCACATCTCAGTATGTTGCTGGACTTCCTCCCTAGATGTAGAGGAAGAGGAAGTGGTAGATCCACCGACTGCACCCACCATGATTAGGAGTTGTTTTTTTTATTATATTTTTGGGGAATACATTTGTAATATCTGTGAGTGAGATCTTTGTACCTACTTATTAAAACCTCTGTATCATCTTTTTTTTAACAATGAATTTTGTCTTTTCATAAATAAATAAATAAATAAATATATATATATAAAAGAATGGCCGGAGGATATGATATGAGGCCCGACCATCCCTCATGCGCTTATAATTTGAGTACCACACCCTACACTTAGGGGGAATCGAACCCCAGACCGGAGGGGACTTACAACTGACAAGCAGATGCTCGACCTACTGATCTGAGTACTTGACACATCGTGTTATTTATATATATAAATATAAATTCCACATCCATAATCACAGTCTATAAAGAGAAATTTAAACCTTGTCTCAAGCTTTATTAGAGCATACTTCGACACAAAAACTACATGTTTAAACTTGATATTAAACTAACTTGATTTTATTGAAAGATTTTAGTTCATGAATATCAAATTGAAATGCTTAGATGAATTCTTATATCTATAATTGATTTGGAAACTGAAATTGAACCTAAATTTTTTTATCATTTGAATGTTTTGTATGAGGAGATTCACACGAAACTAATTATTGATTATAAGAATTCTTTGTCTATTGTTTATGTGAACGGGATATTTGGTGTTTGAATCCATAAAGGCGATGCACTGGGGCCTTTTAAGAAATTATCTATAAGAAATACTTGGCAATATAAAGGCTTACACTATATTGGGACTAACACTTCCTCACTCAAAATCCAGATATGTACTGGCATTAATCTAATCTTCAACACGTCGGATTTGACTTTTTTCATTAATCTATTGCAAGTATCATGGATTTTTTTATTTTTCCATCCCCTTGTTGATTCACATTCAACTCTTTGCCTCATGTATTTATTAGTTTTGTTCTATAAGACTTATATACAGGGATTATTTTTTACTTCTGATGGTGAATTTCATAGGTTTCTTGTGCCATGGATGTTAGATATATGGATTAACTTGTAGGAGCAAAGTAGTTTTTCCTTGATTGCATGGCATAAACTAAATGATTAATTCATCAAAGCACAATTTTTTAGGTTGAGTAAAATGATGCAGATCTATTTAATTTTATTTATTAGTTGTTTTATTTCTTTGTTTTGTAGTTTATTTCAAATGGCGAAATATGCCCATGATGATGATCTTTGGAATGATGTTCGTTTACTATTTGCATTGTGGATTTCAAATTTTAACAGTAATTAAATCATCATTTGGAATGAAAGAAGTTTCTTTCCTGTTTTACTTTAATAGTGATTGATTTTTGTTAAAGTGAAATTGGTAATATCTAGGTAGTATCTTTATCCGTTTTCATCATGCATCTCATTTTAAATTGCATTTGGTACCCTTATCCCTGAACTATCCTACATTAAATATTATAGGGCGGATCAACTTTCGTTTTTATATGTGATTTACCATTAGGATTTTAAGGCTTCTTTTTCATTGTTTTTGTCTTAAATTGAGATTCCCCATCATTTTATCTGGAAAGAAGTATTGTTCTGCCCTAGGGGAATGTTATTTTAAAAATTAGAATATTTACTTTTTTTCATTTGTTGTCTTCTTCATTGCATTGATTTATTGTAGATTACGTGTAAGTAGGCCCCTGTCGTTGATCATATTACCTGATTACTGGTACTTTTTTTATGGTTTCCTATCTTTTATATCACCAAACAATTCCTTACATATTCTGTTTCTTATATGTTTTTTCTAGCTGGAAAATACAGTGCGTTTATTACTAGAGTTAGAACCTGATTCAGATCCAGTGTGGCATTATCTGAACATTCAGGCATGCTCCCTGACCTTGTTCAAAAATTTGGTTTACTCTTCATCCTTGCAATTTCTTGTAGTGGTCATAATTTCATAAATTTTTCGTGATGTTTTTTTCCAGAATCATAGGGTGCGGGGATTATTTGAAAAGTGCACCATTGATTATGAAGCTCAGATGGAACTCTTGCATAATGAGATTCAAGAGAGAGCGCAAGCTGATGCAAGATGGAGGCAGATTCAACAGGAATCAAACAAGTCTGTAAGTTTTCTATTGCAATATATTTAGGTTTACTTAATTGTACAGCAAAATTCATGAAGTTCTCTAGTAATTACATGTAGAACTATTTTATCAAGATCGGTTGAAAAATATCAAATTTTGAGATACGTGATTCTGTATCTAATCTTTTGGTGCCACGTGAACCCAACTAGTAACATATACAACCAATGATACCTAGTGACATATACTACCTATGATAAGTAAGATCCCTCTAGAAATTGACCACATTTTTCCTCACTTCATGCCAGTTAGGTGTTGATTCCTCTGAATGGGACTCTCTAGCAATAGACTCGCAACAGCTGTATATGACTGGTGAAGAAGTTGATGCGTTAAGAGGAAGGTATATTACCAGATTAACTGCTGTACTCATCCATCATATTCCAGCATTCTGGAGGCTAGCTTTGTCCGTGTTCAGTGGAAAGTTTGCGAAGGTACCTTTCAAATAATGTTTTTTCTTAAGGACTATCTTTTATTTGCTTCCTCCATTGTGGATTAATAACTAATGGAGTAAAAAATGATGAGTTTGTTCTTTGGTGATATGGATCAACAAAATGTTGAAATGGAGAAGAATTTGGCAAAATGAATCCTTTTATTTGGAAATTTAGTTCTCATTTTTTTAGGAAGAACCTAAAGCTTGAATAAAAATTGAACAAGCACTTATGCAATACAAGTTATCTAGTTTTTCTTGGAACATACTCGATTTTAATATAGTAACTTGAAATGTTGAATCGGACTACAAATTACTTAACTAGACCATTTTTCTAGTCTTTTAACGGTCTTATTTATTTTTTGGACACACATAGCACGCAATTCTTGTGTATTTATATATCTCACACCTAAACTTTTATATTTACACGATAACACTCAAATCTTTAATATCGCATTAAAAATAACACTATTATTATTTTTAAAAGTGAAATGAACTTTTTCATGCATAGGTTTAAAGCATCAAAGTACTATGTATCTAAATATGAAAGCTTTGGTTTGAGATATGTAAATAAATAAGAATTGTGTACGTATTCAAATTACCCTTTATTTTTTGGCCAACTTTTTCCTTATTGTATGATGTATTTTTTTTTAGGTTTAATTATGCTCTTTGAATAATAATAAGTTGAGAAAATAACCAAAGTAATCCCTGACTCTTTTTGAAGGGCCATTTTAGTCCCCCATACTACGGAAAATGTTTGATTTAGTCATCAAAATCTTTAATAAGAAGCCAAAATAGTCGTTTCATCCAAACTAGCTGAAGTTAAAGTTGATGGTGCTAAAAATAATGATTCTTTACAAAATTGAATTTTTTTTTAGTAAAATTAATTCCCTAGTTATCTGATTTTCTCATGTATAACAATTAACTTTGCATGCACAATTTGATATTTTATTATAAATAATTTTATTTGAAATTTTGTTATCCTAATTCCATTAGAAAAAATAAACTCAATTTCTTTCATTGCAAAAATCTCAAATAAATTTATTTAGTATAAAAAAATAACTTGCAACCCATATGATCCCAATCCACATTTGATGCATTTGAATTAATTGCTGTACATTAAGGTAAGTAGAAAATTAGGTTTATTAAAAATTTCAAACAGTATATTTTGTTATAAAAAACTTCTTTTTAAATAGCATTAATTTTATTTTTTAATTATGCAGCAGTTTTTTTTTTATGTTTATGATTAAGGAATTTTAAGATTCAATTGGTCATTTTACATAGTTTGAGACTAAAATATCACCTCACAGATAGTTGAGGGACTATTTTGATCATTTTCTCTAATAAGTTTGAAATTATATTTTGATAGCATTATATAGACTTTATTGAGGATTGGATATGAATTTTAAATATCAATTGCCTGGTTTTGTCCCTGCAGATCAACCTCTATAAAGCAGGATTCGTGTATTGAAATTGAAAAGGTTATTTTGATGAATGAAATATGTAGTATGAAGCAAATTGAGTTTTTTTTTAATCCAAGTTGTGTATGTGGGTTTCCTCCTTTTTCTCCCTCCCTTCATCAAGCACCTTCTCTAAATTAATTTTTAAAAAGTTGAAATCGGGAACTGAGACGTTTTGCTTTAGCAAGGTGACGTGAGGGCTTAAGCTTTGAGATAGATCGAGGTAGACAGGTGGCTAGCTTGGGTGAGCTCTCTAGGCCAAAAGTCCAAATTGTCCGCTAAGCTCAGCTATGTCTAGCTCAAACCAGAACAGATCACGACTTGATGCTTGTGCGCCAAGATCGCGACAATAGTGCGCCCATATTTCGCCGCGAGGGCTCCTTGTTTTCTGGTGCCCGATGCAGAACCAACGCGAGTGCGCCGGACCACATAAGGGTGCAGGTCCACCAGACCAAAGGAGGGCTCGGGGGTACCCGTAATTGCTGCGGGCACGCCATCCTCTCTACTTGTCGGTGTAGGTCCAGCGCTGGTGCGCCAGACCGAAGTTGGGCGCGGGTGTTCCCGGAGTTTCTGCGGGCGCACCATCTTCTCTATTTGCCGGTGCTAGCGTGTCTGCCTAAGGAAGGCACGGGTGTGCTAGGCTTAGTGAAGGCATAGGTGTGTCGGGGACTCAACGCGGGTGCGCTAGGGCAAAAATGTGCATGATTAAGTGCGATGGGTTTCAGGGCATTTTTCTGGACGTTCACGAGCCATGGGGTACTCCGGGAGAGTGGAATATCATCCCATTGACTTGACATTCAAAAATGGTGCTAACACACTGTAAACTCCTTTAATTGCAAAAGTACAATACACTTTTCTTCTTTATTAAATATGTAGTTATTTTTGTGCCCATAATGAAGTGTACTCCCATCATACTGCAATGGGCGGCCCAATAGATAATGACATGCATCCATGTGGGTAATGCTACACCAAACTGGATTATTCGGCTTGTCTCTAATTGAAATTTCCACCAAACATTTCTTATCAACACATATCTCATTTTCCTTCTTCAAACACGTCTGGGAATATGTTTGGGAATATTTTTTGAGCTATGAGGCTTAATTTATCCGCAATTTGTGCAGATATCATACTTCCACAGTCGGCTCTATTTATAATGAGACCACACACCTTCTTTGCAGTGCATTGGGTACGAAAGATGTTATGCCCGGGCCATTACCAGTCTCTCTTAGGCATGGTCTGGAGAACTTGAACCACAAGTATCTCAACATCATCTACGGGTTGCTAGTACTCTTCTTCATTCTCTTCATTTGGGCCCTCACTGTCTACCTTCTCTACTGCATCATGCTTGATAAAAGAAATCACCTTTTTGTTTAGACAGTTGGTTGCGATGTGCTCGATTTCATGACATTTAAAAACTTTATAGTTTGAAGTTTTTTGGGCGTGATGATCTGACCAGTCATTGTTTGCTCCTATGCAGACATCCCTTCCCAAGGGGGTCTCAGTACTTTGGTCGGTGTTTTCTGCTACTTGATATGAAGGTTTAATCATATTTAGAAGGTGGTATGGACTTGATGCTGCAGTTTTGTCTCTCCACCTTCAGGGCTAAGGTCTAGACAACTTGTAATGTGTCCAATATGGTTGTAACTGTACCATGTTGCCCATGGATGACGTCAATCCCCCAAACATAACAGGCCATGCACCCTTATATATATATATATATAAAAGTTGTGTACTTTCATCACAATTTCTACTCCTTCCTAACCAAGCACACAAGTTGTGTACTTTCTACAATTTCTTACCAAAGGAAAACAATAAAGATATGAATTAAGCCAATCAATAAACTAACAAAGGTTCATAAAAAAACTACTGAACCTGGGACTCATCAACCGTGACATTACCTTAGCAACCAAATAGATCACAAGGGATGATTTCCAAACATTTTAAGCTAAATTTAGCGCTCGAGCAATAGCTTGGGAAAATAATATGAATTCATTTTAAATTTGAACTGCAAAATAATATGAATCTTTCTAAATTTGGTAAATTGGTAAAGCCAAATTAGATGCAACGAACCACTTCCCATAAATGTGAATCAGGGCAAAGTCATATCAATAACTGCGATGAGTTAGGTAATCAATATCTTGACTTCAAATATAAGCTTGGGAGACTCAAAGGTATTTACCAATAATTTAAAGCACCTGCATGGCTCATCTTTGACAAGGATATTTACCAAATTAAAAGCTTACTTGCATTACAATACACCATGAATTTAGAATCATTAAACTATAGTCATATTGCATGAAATGCACGAAGTGATTATAATTCAATAAATTTAGGTTTGCTTTTCTCGCCTTGAACGGTGAAAAATAATTCAAAGGTTCCAACAATAGAAAATAATGCAGCATTACAACATTATGAATTCTATATATCCTCAGGCTCCACTAAGTTATTGGAATTCAACGATGTACTCCTCTATTAAGGAATATTTATGCTTTAGGTGATGAAGTTTCAAGAACATATTATGTATGTAATGTACTAGCAGATACTTGTTGCATCTACTTCACTTGCATCAAATAATGATTTTGTTTTTTCCTCACATTGGCACTTTAATTTTCCCTTCTATAGCAATATACTATTCTTTAATTTGATGGTGACTAGCTTTACTCTTATGCCATGTGTAATATTTTTGTATTCGAAGGCCCGTTCCACTATCTTGAGCCACTCGATGAACTCCTGTTTCCATGTGACTGTCAAAATATGATAAATTTATATTTACTTCAAAATCACCCTCTCTTCTTATACTTAATGCCAAATTGACGTGGCATCGACTCTTCGTCACTTGAAACTTCTCGGTGCAAAGGGTTTTTTTCATCTTCTTCATCTGGGCAATCATCATTGTTGTTGTGGGTTCTCGATGTTTAATTCCTTCAAAATTAGTGAGTCTCCATCACGATTGGAGGATTTTCCACTACATTTCTTCCATGGTAATTTTTTTAGCACCTTGTTGAGCTTCTATGGGGCATTGCGTCTCATTCTCTCAACCAAAATTTTGGTTGGCTTTGATACCTGATATCGTTTTAGTACTCCTAGAATGTGTGATACAACACAAAAAGGTGTTAGAGAAGTTGAAGGGTGGTTAGCGGGAGTGGGAGGATGGATGACAGCTGAAATTTGGCGTGAACGGCGATTGGACAGTGAATCAAAAGCTGGAAAACAACTGTTTCTCCTGTAAACAACATGTGGCAGTGGTTTCAACGACGGTTCAACCGAAAACAGCGAGCGAACAACAAAACGGCAATGGTAAGAATATATGTCAATACGGAGAGCATAAATATGAGAAAAATCTCCCAAAATATATAAAATCAATTTAACAATCCATTTCTAACTTTGTACATACCTTTCTTGCTTTTCTCCTTTCCAACTTCCTTTCTCCTCTTGATCTACTCTCTCTAAATACCATGCAACCTTAACAAATTATTTAGAAATTTAATAATATATCTTGGTCTAGGGCTGTTAAAAAAACTCGTCGTTTGCGAACAGCTTGTGTTTGGCTCGCTACTTGTTTCGTGTTTGATTCGTCTGTTAAGCAAACGAGCCAAACAAGACAAATTTTTTAGCTTGATTTATGAACGAGCCAAACACAAACAGGTCTACGAACAAAGATTTGTTCATTAGTGTTCAACCCGATTTTGCTCAAATAAATAAATAAATAAATAAGTATTATTATTATAATATTTATATATTAATTTTTATATTATATTTTAAAAATTATTAAATTTTATTAGATTTTAAAAAATTTTAGTTAGGATTTAAAATGAAAAATAAAATTTTCATATTGAATTATATAAATACATAAGAATTAGTTACTGGAATGTAAGAAATTTTCATAGAACAATTTTGGCCAAGCCCTCCCTTCCGCACCCAAGATTCCACCCACTATGAGCCACAGAAAAAAAAAAAAACTTTATTTAACATGTAAATATTCATATGAAGCGTGATATGTAATTATGTATACGAAATGCCAAAAATTCCTTCCCAATTCCCACCCCCCTCTCCACTCCACTTCCATCTTACTCCCACCTCCATGGTTCTCGCTCCTCTGCTGCTCTTTAACTTATTCCCACATCTTGAATCCCAAAAAAAAAAAAAAAAAAAAAAAAAAAAAAAAAAAAAAATCATACTCTTTAAAATATGAATTTTCCGTTTGGATAAGATACTTGAGTTGCTGTGTGTAAGGAGCATGATTTGACTTCGGATACAACTAAGATATGCTGAAATGTTTTATAAAAATTTTTAGATTTTTCATATTTTGGGAAATATTTAATAATAAAAAAATTTGGAGTGTAAGTTTGAATAGCTTAAATTTGAGCCAAAATATGAGCTAATTCAAACAAATTTGAATTTAAATCAAATCGAACATGAACATGACTATTAATGAGCTGTTTCGAACATGAGCTCATTTTGAACGAGCTGAAAACAAACAAGCTCCGAGCTCGCTTATGTTTGGCTCCTTTACAACCCCTACCTAGGTCTTATTGATTTGAAAACGAAAATCTTGGTTAAAGTTTACTTTTGATCCCGAAGAAAAGCAGTAGCCTTGATACACTCTTGTATAGTTCACTCGATGTCGCATCCTCTTATGTGACTGCTTGCATGGCCACACAAAATCTCATAGCCGTTGTCTTGATCACCGTAGTCACTCCAGTGCTCCCGATCCCTCACTAGATTGCTCACCTCTCACACTCACCCTTTTTGTATCTTAGTTTTTTTTCTCTCTATCTGGCTTTTGTTTTCTCTTTTTGTGTTTGTGTCTTATGTCTCTCACTTGCACATTTTCTATCGTCCTGTTTGCTCTTTGTTTGTTTCTTGCCTCTCTCCCATTCCATCTCCTCTCTTATCGTTGAACTGAGTAATGGTCTGCTCCAATGAAACCACCATATTATCTTTAATTTATTTTACTAAATAATAATCGAGTAGGTGTTTTACAGATAAAAACTACTGTAATTGCGTTGTGAAACCCACTTTTGAAATGCATATTTAAAGCAGAACTTGCTCGTTTCATTTCTTAGATACTCAAGAATTTAATTTCATAGCAATTTAAAATGATCTCATTATCTAAATTAATGATATATAAGTATTTCATTTGTTTATGCAGGAGTAAACCATTATATAAGTTTGAAGGCATACTATTGGATTGAATTCCTCGGTTGATTGATTGTTCTTTTACCTGGCTCTATATAAAATTTTTTTTTTCCTCTTTAACTAATTCGTAGTTGTTCTTCATATTGAAAACAATTTTATTTTTGGTGTGTTCCATGGACATTGGATACCCGGAATGCCTTGGGATATAGGCGTTCTTGTTCTAGCCAAAGACATTTTGCCATCCTTCATAGCTTTATCTCCCTGCTGTATTCATTAAATATTGCTTCCTCTTAATTTTGACTTAATAGGTTTGTTATACTGAATATTCTTATCTTCACGTATGTTTTAGACTTGAGATACTTGGAATGCCTTTGTTAAAATACAAATGACTATTTTTTAGTCCTTTTCCTTATAGTTAGAATAATTGTTGGTGCAAAAGCTTGTAAATATCTTTCAGTGCTTCCATAACTTTGGGCTGGCTGTTTTTTATTTATTTCTGAAGTTCTGATGACCCAGGGCACTGCAGGCAATGTTCACCTGGATTCTGATGTAAATTCCAAACATTCACAAACTAGGAGTGATGACAAAGCCACTGATGTGAAATTTTCAAGTCATTCTCTTGAGGAAGTTACCACTATGGTTCATGATACCATAAATGCTTTTGAGGTCAAGGTACGTGAAAGTGTTACCTGTGTGCTTCATGTGCTGTTTAATATTGGTTGAAAGAACACCTCTAATCTGATTTGATATTTAATTTTGTTGTAAATGTTTATCATGCTAGTAGTAAGTGTTCCAAAGAGATGCATGCTAGGGACGGGACACTTGGTGTCATTGCTAAGATTTCTTGTGTTAATGGCATGCGTTCATGATGCTTTTTATCTCATCAGTATCGTAATAAATGAAAATTTATACAACTAAAAATATAACATTCTTTTATTTATCGTGAGTTGTCATAGTTAAGAATGCGGGCTTGGAGCTATGATATTTGCCTCCATTAAAACATGGAGATCATAGATTTAATTAGCAATTTTTAATGCAATTTTCTCTTCATTTTAATGATTACCAGCTGTCATAGTGTCATTATTTACTTGTGATTAGTTATATTTTTTCTTAATTATTTTAACCTATATTCTATGAAGAGTTTATTTTCCCTTATGATTTGCTCAATGGCCTTTCCCTTTTCTCTTTCCTTGGAAAGAAAAAAATATTACGTGCGGACAAGTTCGGTGCCGATTTGATGGTATTGGGGTGGTATTGTGATGAATACCACCCAATACCACCAATCCACACATGCGGATTCCACACGTAATATTCGATCCTTCCCTTATCCCAGCCTCTAGACTTTTCTTCCTTTTCCTCTTAAGCCGAACCTCCCATTCATTCTTTAGCTTAGATTCTCAGGAGTGTTGCTTCTTGTTCTGTCGGCTTGAAGAGCTCTTCTTTTTCAGGGCTTTCTCAAAATTTTTGCTTCTGAGGAGTTCAACTGCTCCGGCTGCTTTGTTATTAAACAACCTTTATTCTTATGTATAGTTTTATACAGTGATAAGGCTTCATTCTTCAGTTTCCATGTACTCCGTGCATTTTCCAGAGCCTCATTTGTTGTTAGATATGCATTTTTTAGGCCAGTTTTTGAAGATATTACTTGTTCTTGAACTGCATTGCTAGGATTTGGCTTTGAGTAAAAAAATTCAATAGAAAGCCTATAGGCTATGTGGAATGATGGATTTTGTTCTAATTATCTACAGAAATTTAGAACAACCTTTGATTTCATAAAGTCCTATAATATTCTGTCCAAATGTAAGAAGCCCATGGTTTTTTAACTTATGGTGACTTAAAATTTTGTTTATTTATTTATTTATTAGTTTTTAAATGACGGATTATGTGGATAAAACAAGTCTTTCTGCCTTGTCATTTGACATTTTGCTGTTTGATATTGTTATTTAGTCTCATTGGAGGTTGATTTCCTATCTTTTTAGTTTCGTATTGTGTGTTTTTTTTAAATATGCTGATGCTATAAAGATATATTCATTGAATTTTTTTGGACCCATTGTAAGGTTTTTCTTCCTTTTTAACTTATTTTCTTCAAGTTGTGCTGACCATGATTCCATGTCTTTGTTAAGAATCTTGTGACTAGACAAAATAAACTTACCCAAATGTTTATGTAAGGCAGGTCCACAACACGTTTCGTGAATTTGAAGAATCAAATATTCTTAGACCATATATGAGTAATGCTATCAAAGAAATTGCCAAAGCTTGCCAGGCTCTTGAAGGAAAAGAGATTTCCCCCTCGATTGCTGGTATTTACCATTTGTTGTTATATGTAATTTTTTTTTCAGTTTTATAATCTTAATTATGATTTTGTTATGTACTTTCCAGTTAAAACTTTGAGAGCCCTTCATTTCGAAATTACTAAGGTTCATGTGTATAGACTCTGCTCATGGATGCGAGTGGCAGGCGAGGAGATAGCGAAGGAAGAAATGTGGATACCATTATCCACTCTGGAGAGGAACAAATCTCCATATGCCATTTCATATCTGCCTATAGCATTCCGAGAAATGTTAAATTCAGCTATGGATCGAATACAGGCGTAAGTTCTTTATTAAGTTTTGAGTATAATTTCAGATTTTTAATTTTATGGATGGAATTGAATTTTCTTTCATGTGGATGTTGAAGTTGAAATTTTTATAGATCCTCCATTAGGATTTTACATTTCTTCAAAAATAAAGGTGTCACTCTATTCGTTTTAAACAATCCCTAAGAGCATGATTCTGTAGATTTAAAAAGGCACAGAGATCATACACTATTTATAAAATATTTCAATGATGAAAAAGTTTGAATTCTTATATGTTTATTGATGATATAATTATTATAGGTGATGAAAATGCATGAAATAAACTACTAAAAAAAACTTGTAACCAAGTTGAAATCATTGAAATCGCGAGCAGACAAGGTTTGTGCAGAAAATGAAAAGACAATAAATAAATACAATCACAAGTGTAAAAAAAAAAGAATATAAGGAGCAGACAAGATTTTTACTTGGTTTGGCCCAAAAATCAACCCAGGGTTGACATCCTCACCTAGCAATTTACTGGGCAGAGACCATTGACAATAAATAGGCTATAATTTATGCACTCTTCTCAGTTTTCACTGGGTAAGTACTATCCCAACTATATTATAACAGTGACAACCAAAAGCAGACCAAATCAAACGGCCTAAAAAAAATGAAAAGTTCAAGTTTTAACAATGACAAGATATTCAAATTTTAGTTTACCACACTTAACAATTGAAGGTGATTTTACCGAAGTTTCAAAAAAACTACCTTCACAAATGCATGTATTGATTTTGAAAATTTATCTACTTATCGTGAAGCTGGGATTATGTGAAATAATTTCCACTTCTAAGACAAATATTTTTCAAAATTTAAACTACAATAATTTTGAAAATATTCTATAAATAATAATTTTTTTTAAAACAACATAAAATGATAAATCAAATTGAATTCAAGATTTTTGTCACGGTAATCTATGATTATAATTTTAAATAATATGAGGATGCAAATTAAATTATAATGAACTTTCTAATAAACTTTATATATAACCTATGAATCTGCCACGGGCTAATTAGGCTTATTTGAGACAAATTACATTCTTATTTCATTTAGTATAAACATTTTCCCAGATTAACCTTGATCTATCAGTTTCCGAGTTTTGAATGCTTGTTAGAGCTGAGCGCAGAAGAGAATCTTAAAGGGGGTCAGGATATTAGCCATAAGTGAACCATTATAGTTTGAACTGTTGTTTGCATCTCAATTATATTTAATTGAACCGTGTCCAGGAAAATGCTGGAAAAGCTACCTTCACCTGACCTTTTCCCAAGAAATGTTATGATGCATGGAGTATATATATGCTTCTCACGTTCGCTGTTTGTGCTGATCATTTTTGCAATATTCTTTCAGCTTGAGGTGTCAGATCATTATTTTTGAAGAACAAGATTTGTTGATGAATATGTTTTAATATTTATTTCAATTGTTACTCTACTTTATGGTAAATATGGTGGATGCAAGTTATGGTTAATAAATAGATGTATTTAGTTTAGAATTTATTGTTGGGGTCTTAAAATTCGTTCATAAATCAATGTGGTTTCTATTTATTATAGCATTGAAAGAATTTTGAATTTCAAGTGACATTAACATATCCACTTTTTATTCTTGAAATTAATAATTTTTTTGGGTGCTTCTAGCATGATTCATAATTTAACAGCAGAGGCGACGAAGTCGGATGACATGTTGGAACATATTCAAGAAATTCAAGATTCAGTTAGAATTGGGTTCTTGAACTGTTTCCTAGACTTTGCTGGTATGATGAGATAACAAGTGTAATCAAATTTGGCTCATGTGCTCAGATTTATTAAGTTCTAATGGGTTTTGCAAGCCATCAGGTTATCTTGAAAGAATTGGAATTGAGGTATCTCAAGCGAAATCAAATAAAGAAGATGGCCATTTCCAGAATGGTTTTTTATATGGATATGGTGGAGAATTACGTGGGGTTCATTCCGGGGGCGCTGTTGTTGATTCTCACAAAAGGTTGTTAATAGTTCTAAGTAACATTGGGTATTGCAAAGATGAACTTGCTCGTGGGTTGTATACAAAATACATGCACATATGGTCGACATACAGGTATCCTATCTTTATATGGTTAAGCAAATAGTCCATGGGCTAATTAAAATGAAATGAATTGCTTGTTTTTTTATGGAAACGTGCCCTGCAAAGTTTGGCAGGCACTATATTTGCTTAATGACAAAAAATGCTTAAGATCACACTAACACTAGTCAGGCTTTTTCGATGACAAGTATTCTTCTTTTTTAAGCATATAAACTTATGGATGTGCAATGAATATTCAAAAGCGTGTACAGTTTTTTTTCCAATTAACTGCTATCAGAATTTAGCATTCTTTTTTTTTTTTGTTCTTATGCAGGGAAAGAAGTGAGGGAAAGAAGTGAACAAAATACTGATGTTCGTGATCTAGTTTCATCATTTTCTGCACTTGAGGAGAAAGTACTAGAAAATTACACATATGCAAAGGTATGATGCAGCATTTTATGTATAGCTTTTTACTTGAAAGCTTTAACTATTGATGCATACTCACAATCTTTTATTCTCTCTACGACTTGGAATTTTTTGAGTGTCAACTAGCATTGGAGTCTTCCTTTATTGACGGCGATACTCTTGTTAATCTGTATATCATATGGTTTTGCATCTAAGATATTTTTTTCATTTTATAGCATTTATTTTGCTGCCGTTTCTGTCTTTTGCCATTTATGTAAAATATAACGACATCTCCTTACTATTTAAGTTTTAGCATATTTTATAATTCTTATGTTGCAGCAGGTTTTAATATTTAAGTTTTCGGTTCATGAACAATATGTAATTGTTCTAATTCAGTCTGCTGTTTTTTTTTTTTTCAGTCGAATTTAATAAGAACCGCCGCAGCTTTGAACTATCTCTTGGATTCTGGAATTCAATGGGGATCTGCGCCTTTGGTTAAGGTATAAGATAAGTGTACATGTTGATCTTCCTATTCTGTTTCTTTTATAAATTTTGTTCTTTTAATGCATTGTTAATGATACTATGGCTTATTAATATTTCAGGGTATTCGGGATGCTACCATCGAGTTAATACACAGTTTAGTTGCTGTGCATGCAGAGGTACTCATTTATTTCTTTCTATTCTTTTAAAGATACTTAAAATGTTATTTTTGAGGTTTTTGGTTGTGTTAAAAGGTATTCATTTTCTAAGCTAGTTACATCAAGTTGGCAATGAGATTCATATGGCTAATTTGTTTTATCAGCTTGTTTTTATATTTTATTATTTTGTAAGGAGAATTGGAGGTGGAGAAAGAGGATACAAAATCTTAATTATGCAAATTATTTGTTTGTAAAATATGACAGAAGAAAACTTTCAACACATAATTATTAGACGGCTTAAATTTTGTGCTATGGTTTAGCAAAAAGGATTCATGTAGCCGACCCCACGCAGTGGGATTAAGGCTTTGTTGTTGTTGTTGTTGTTAGCAAACAAAGTTAAAGCTACATTTTCATGATTATATAGTTGGGTAGCTATATAAGAAAATAAAACTAATGGTTGATTTGGTATTGCTGTGTGTTTTCAAGTAAGTTTTTTATAATTGTAAAGCTCTGGAGGAGGTGCATGTGCTATATTGTGCTTCTATTGTATGCTTTTTCATGGAATTCGAAATTGTGAAATGTTACTTTTTTGAGAAGCAAAGTTGTTGGAAAGCAATGACAAATAAGGCTCGGAATATACACACAATAGCTTAGTCAAGAAAAAAGGAAATCTAAAGTGTTGATCAAGTTAAATTTATTAAAAAATATCTTAAGAAATATGAGCATCAAGAAAATATTAGATGTTGTGACAAGTTGTTTTATGAGTTTTAAGGCTAAAATTTTAAAAGGAGCATAAGAACATGGTCATGAAGTATGCTATATGATTAGATTTCGAGATTCACTACCAATTGACATTTTGAGAGTTATGAGAGGTATTATTATAATTTTGTTTGCAAAAATTCTAATTTAATTTTCAAGACTAAGTTTGATATGTCATTTTGAGTAGAAACATCTTTAGTTTTATTTAAAACATCAAGACTGACAAATTTTTAGCTATCAAACTTAATATTCTTACAATGTTGCTATCAATACTGTAATTATCAGTTTTAGAAAAATTATGTTAGTATTGTAGAATTAATTTGATTTTTATAGTTTGAAATATATATATATATATTTGTTTCTCAATTTGTTAACTTCAAATTTCAATATATATATATATATATTGGTTTTTCAAGGTATTCAGTGAAAAAATATACAAAGGATGCGTACGATTATATTTCTTTAATCTTGAAAATTTGGTGTTTGGAGCTTTTATTTTGTAGACATTGCAAAAAAAAGGAAAAAAAAAGATTTATCAAAGTATATTGAATTTTTTTATACACACAACACAATTATATATATGTCCAATCATACCCAAGGGATAGAACGTAGGGACCGAGAGTGAGAAAGATGGAGAGAGAAAGAAGAAAACTTGCCCCGTGGGAGCTAATGGGCTGTTTTCGGGGCTCTTAGACCCATTTTATTTCTTGAATACTTGGGTTATAAGTGGGGAACCAAAAGCCTTTAATACATGAAAGAGTGCTCCTATTTATAGACGATAGGATGACAAATGAAAAATTAAATCATCGCCCTTGCTAACTTATGCCACGACCGAATTATATCTCGAGCGTTGATTTGGGTTCTAATGCTTCACTCACGTGGATCCCGGTCGCTTGGTTGGACCTCTTTATGGGAGGAAGCCACCTAGACTTCTTTCCTTGTTGATTTTCGCCGTACCCTTCGCAGAGCTTGTCACAACTGGGTAGGGAGTCATTTTTCGGATTTCTATCTAATCAAAGCTATGAGACTTGAGCTTTTGTTGAAGAATTGGCCCTTATTTCCGATCAGACATCTATGACGTCGTTGTTAGTGATTTTTGATGCTTTTAACTAATCAGACATTCTTGGCGTCGTTGTCGGCTTTGTTATTCTGGTTCAAGTTCCCCGAGTGCTAGCTTAAACTGAGTTAGATGCAGATAAAAAAAAAAAATAACAGCCTTAAATTCCTGCACGTAGGTGTTGTTTTGAAAAATGCTGAATATAAGAAAGTTTTTTAGTTGCAATCCTATTAGTTTTGTCGGGTCATCAGAAGGAGTTTTAGCTATAGCAACAGACCAAAATAACCATACCTCCTTAAAGAGACGAATTACTTCGTTGATATGATTTGACAAATGAAAAGAGTTAGGCGGACTTTTGTGTGAGTGTCTATATATATATATAAAAGTTGCATGACATAAGGAGAGGTGGCGCTGTGAGAGTAGTTAACAGGTGATTTTTCCGTGTCAGTGATGGCTGGATGGAAGATTTTTGTGTGATTTCCACGACAATAATGGCTGGCCAGGAGATTTCTGTGTGATTTCCTCAACAGCAATGGCTGGCCGGGAGACGACTGATGCAGAGAATTTTTACTGTAGAAACGTAGGAAGTTTCTAGATCTGATTTATGCAGATCTACAGAGAAGGAGATGGAGTTTCTTAGAGATTGTTGACAGCGAGGAATAAATGGAGTGAATCTGTTGTTGTGTGAATTTCCCTTGCTTGCTATTTGTTAGGACTGTCTATCTGAAGAGTTTTTCCTCGGTGTTGCTCATCTTCTTGTTGGTGGCATGATCCACGTTCGCTGCACCTTTCAGGATATTGAATCTTGATCTGTCTGATCATGCCCAAGCGTGGAGACCGAGGGAGAGAAAGGGCGAGAGAGGGAGAGGTGTGTGTGTGAAGCTGTGGTAAATTTTAACATGTGGAAAAAAAATTTAACTTGTAGAAGGCGGTATATTTTAACATGTAGAAAGAACTAGTCTGATTGATAATATGCTTGGCTCAGCTATGGCCCTACAGCCCTACGATTAACTATGCATTGTAATAGGTGATTTCAGCGGGGAATTAAGAGAATTTATTAGTTTTTTAGTTAGTATTTAGTTCTAGGAGTTCATGTTTTGTGAAGGCAAATGCTTCAAGGGTGGAGGAATGAGGCTGTTTTCATTTTTATTTAAGGAGGTTGGGTTTTATAAATCTGTTGCAAATCTGAAAATTTATTTCAATCCCAGAATTCGCTGGATAGGTTTTATTGTAAGGGCAGACAAGTTTTGAAGGATCAAAAATAAAAAATAAAAAATCTCCAAGGCCTTATCAGATGGACTATTACACGCAACAGCAATTCCAAAACTGATTATTCCAGATTCAGTCAGAGTTTTGGTATCTGTTGTGGCTTGATATTAAGATGACCAGTAGTTCAGGAAAATGATGAGAAAGAGTCTGAGGAAAGAGAAAGAGGAACATAAATCAAATAACATTCTCAGGATGATTGTAACCCTTGCAAACTTTAGTTGAAACTTAATTGTTGCGATTTACAAATAGTGTTATGAAGAGTTGAAAACAAATTTCTGCTCCAGCTAAGGATTTGATGAACTCTTTATTGATACAGGTTTTTTCCAGTGCCAGGCCTTTGCTTGAGAAAACAATGGGTATTCTGGTGGAAGGCTTGATCGACACATTTCTTAGCCTTTCTCATGAAAACAAGACCACGCAGAAGGCCAAGTACCTCAAGTCTTTGGACGTGAATGGTTTCTGCCAACTTATGCTTGAGGTTAATAGATTCTGTCTTTAAGTTTTTGCACAACTATTTTATGCAAACCTTTGTTTATCCAGGTCCAAAATAGGTTCTTACTGGATTGAGAACTTTAAAAATGTTACTCAAGAGTTTCTAATTGTTTCTCTCTTATTTCCAGCTCGAGTATATCGAAACTGTTCTTCACTCGTATTTCTCACCCGCGGCCCTTGAATCCTTAAAATCCTTGCAAGGACTCTTATTGGAGAAAACCTGCGAGGGAGCATCTGAATCCGTCGAGAATCCAGGCCATCACCGACGTTCCACTAAAGGTAGTGAAGATGCAATAACAGATGACAGGCAACTGGGATCCAATATTTCTCCGGACGACTTGATCGTAAGTTGATCTCCCCCTTCATGAATATATTGAATGTAAATTTTTAGGAAGATCTAAAAATTTACATGCATGCCACTTAATTGACTTTACCTCTGCATGAAAATATGTTTTTAAATTTTAAGAAGTTAAAATGGTAATATTTTTTATGTTAAATGAAAGATCTAGGTGATATAAATGTAAAAACCCATGTTTAAGCTTTTGATATTTAGATATATATGAATTGGTTGGTATTTATTTAAATGCCCCAAATTTTCATTCGGCTCCTTCCCATGCCTTAATGGAGACAACAGTCAAGAACTTGCATATATGAAGTTTTATGCTGGTCTAACATCATACTTTTTCCATTTTTTTAATTTTTTTTTATTTTTTGCAGGCTTTAGCACAACAATATAGCACGGAATTGCTGGAAGGTGAGCTGGAGAGGACTCGTCTCAACATATCATGCTTCATGGAGGCCTCCCTCCGGCCAAATTCTCTTCCGGCGGCTCAAAAACCTTCTTATTCTTCGTTCCATAAGCCGGTTTCTTCGCCACAATACAGGAGACAACAGACTGTAAACTCTCCAAGTTTCTCCAGACACAGACGGAGATAACTGTATATATTCATCCCACCACTGTCATTGCTACTAGCTAATTTATTTGTTTTGTTTGCAAATCTTGCATCTTTTGTGTAATATATTTTTCATGTTTGTAATCATTGGTAGGGAAGAGTAATTTTTTCTTATGGATATTTAATAATGAGTTTCATTTGATTTTTTTTTTTTTAAATTGCTGTGAACATGTTTGAGAACAATTTTATTTGTTTTGCTTTAATTTAATTTGGTTATATTTTCATTTAGATGTACATGATATTATGTTTGATATTATTATATATTTGTTATTGCATTATATTCAAGTTTATTAAAAAAACTAAAAAAAAAAAAATGTTTAAATGAAATTATATGCATGTATGGTTGTGAAAGTGAAATAAACAACAGAAATTTTAATTCAATGCTTAATACATTTCCTTCCATCTTTTGTAAAATGAATTGTCTTTTAGTATTATGACATATACTGTATTTCATAGCATAACAATATCTTACTGGCAGTGTCATGTAATTTATATGAGATGTACTATTTTTGCTACTGTTATCTTCGAACTTTTATATTCATTTTTCATGCATGCTGCAACAACAACAATAGCAACAAAGCCTTACTCCCACTACGTGGGGTTGGCTACAGGAATCCTTTTTCTCCATTGCGTCCTATTCTATTTAGTGTTACATTTTCATTTGGTTTTAATAAATTAAGATCATTTTTTATACAATAAGCCCAAGTTTTCCTGGGTCATTTTACATGCATGCATTAAATTTATTGTTGGTTTATATATATATATATATCTAATAAAGAAGTTAAGGCCACCTAAACTTAGAAATGTAATAATAATTAATTCAAAAATAAAATAGTTTTCTTTGCACATGATTATTAATTTTTTCATATATAATGTATGCTAATAATGAATTATCTATGGTTTGTTCATTGTTAACAGTATCTTTCGGCTTATGCAAAAAGTGATACCAAAGCAATGCTAAGAATTTGGTCGTCGATTCCATATAATGAACTTTATTTTAACATTTAACTAATCAAAACCCTTTTAAATTCAATTTTTTTATTTATAAGAGGACAATTTAGTTTTTTTGCCCTTATTGAAATATCAGTTTTGTTCCATCTAAAATATTACCTTGTCCTTCATTGACCTGGGGTTGGTTGTTTGCCCCCGACAAAAAAGGGATTGGTTCCGCCCTTGTGTGTGTGTTTGTTCATTTGTTTGTTTGCGTGATAAAAAAGTAATTATTCGAAGATGCAATAATTATCATCGAAATATTTTGGCATTAAAAAAATGATGCCAACAAGAGAATTTATATGATTGTGCACAAATCTCATTGTAATAAAAAATCTTTTAAATTCAAAATTAGGATTTTCTGAGCTTTGATTTTCACAAATTTATACTTTAAGTGAGCATCTTGACAATGCAAGTCTAATGACACTAAAAGTGATTCAATATGGGTCCAAAAAAGCTCATATACACTAGAAGGCTAAACAATTTCAATATTTTCATGTTTAAAGTAAAATTGAGCAGTTCAATAAGAGTAATTTAATGCGTTTAAGATCATTCAGTTTTGGGGTTATTAAGGCAATTAAATAGGCCCAATTTTTTAAAAAATAGACCCCCATTTTCACATAGGGGGGGGG